GCACCCCTGGCAGGCCCCCTTCAGCCCTATTTTTATTCATGAAGCCTTTGCCATGTGGCTATTTATACTGAGTCACATCTTGAGTTTCTGGTGATCGGCTGACCCCTTAAGGCCAAGTGTGCTCTGAATGTCACCGAGCAGGCCAGGCAGCTGCAGCTTACCTCAGGGCTGGTCCCAGGGGAACAGGTGGAAATGCAGGATCCTTTCCCAGCTCCATTCCCAGGGTTGGGAAGCAATTAATAAAATTAATCCTCAATTCCCACTTCCAGCAACCCTCAGTAGTGTACCAGCAGGGTTGAGTACATTCTGCTCCCCAGAGCTCTCCTCAGGACCGCATGGTCCCAGCCAGAGTACCCCGTCCTGCCTTGGAGACCCTGTCCCCGAGTCCCAAAGCCCACTGAGGAGGCTAGCACTCTGACTGAGCTATACTGGAACCCTCTGCTGAGTCCAGTCCTGGAAGTCTGGAGAAGACACTAGCCAAACAAGCCAGTGCCCAGCCTCCCCTGAAGGAACCTGCCAGGGCACCCCATCCCTGAAGAGCTAGCCCCTTCAAGCACTTCCTTGGCTCCATGAGGTGGTGATTGTAGCCAGCAAGGACTCTGCCTCCTGGATTTTAAATTTATATTTTATTGAGATAAGGTTAGTCTAGACTGGCCTTGAATGTATGGGTGATTCTCCTGCCTCAGCCTCCTGTGCGTAGGCCCTTGTGCTGGACAGCTTTAGTGTCAACGTGACTCACCTGGACTGAGGGAGCCTCAACTAGGGAATTTCCTTCATTGGATTGGCCGATGGCCATGTCTGTGGGCCATTTTCTTGATTGTTGAGTGATGTGGAAGGGCCCAGCTGACTGTGGGTGGTGCCACCCCTGGGCAGGTGGGCCTGTGTTGTATAAGAAAGCAGGCTGAGCAGGAGCCAGGGGAGCAAGCCAGTAAGCAGCGTTCTTCCATGGCCTGTGCTCCAGCTCCTGCCTCCAGGTTCCTGCCCTGAGTTCCTACCTTGGGCTCCCTGATGAATTGTGACTCGGGAGATGTGAGCTAAATAAACACTTTCCTCCCCATTGGTATTGATCAGTGTTTTGTCACAGAAATGGAGAAACAAACTAGGACAGCCCTGTTGGAGATCCAAACTCAGGTCTTCATGTTTACATGTAAGTACTCTATCAACTAAGTCATCTCCCCAATCTCTTACTGGCTTCTTTTTTTTGGTCTTTTTGAGACAGGGTCTTCCTGTAGCCCCAGCTGTCCTGGAACTCACTATGTAGACCAGGCTGGACTTGAACTCACAGAGATACGCCTGCCTCTGTCTCCCGGGTGCTGGGATTAAAGGCACGTGCCACCACGCCCGGCCTGTTTTTTGTTTATAGTTTGTGTGTGTGTGTGTGTGTGTGTGTGTGTGCACGCATGTGTGTCATGGCACAAGTGTGGACACCAGAGGACAACCAGGGACAGTTGGTTTTCTCCTTGCCCTATACGGGTTCTGGGGATTGAACTCAGGTCATCAGACTTCACATCAGGCACCTTTACCCATTGGGCCATCTCAACACCCATTGCCTGTCTTTCACAAGCCACATGCCTCCAGAGAAGGGAGTCAGCTGTCAGCCAGCAGGGGCCCACTTCCTAAAGCTATGAACTTGGAGAAGGGATTTCCACCTTTGAACTGGGGTGGGGGGGTACGTTCAGATCTTGGTGGTCTGGTCCAGCCCATTCTGAGGTGAGAACTGAGCAGGGCTCAAGTTCTAGAAATATGCAAGTCTGGGGAAAGGGCTTCTCATGGGCAGGGAGGGCAGCCAGTGCAAAGGCCCCGAGGCGGGAGCCAGCTTGGCACATGGGCTGAAACTGAGCAGGAGAGGGATGGAAGGCAAGTAGTGAGGGCGCAGCCAGGTCATCCTCAGGCATCCTTGGCACTGAACTTGAGTTCTACTCTGAGTGAGGTGGGGCTGAGTAACAACTCACTCAATACAACAGGTTCCAGGGTGGGAAGAATGGGAGACACTCTTCCTTTCTGCCTACTGTTGATTCTCTTTCCACACTGGACCTGTCGTACATAAGAACTTACAGACTTCCAAACAAAAGCACTTGACTATGATCCAGGGCAAATTCCTCCCCACCCGACATTTGCCTACTGCTTGACCTTGCTGGGTTCTCAGGGCCCCAGGGAGAGGAGTTTGAAGAGGCAGAACATTCCTGCTGTAATTTTACCCTCAGGAAATGAGAAAACAATAAAACGCACAGCTCCAAGAGTGGGCCACTTACTCCAGGTCGGCTTCTTGGCTTCTTTTGGTTTCTTCTCAGCCACCATGGAAGTCAAACATTTGGGCCAATCTAGCCCCCCAGTGCCAGATCTTTGGACCCTTGGCTCAAGTGACCCCTCCCATCTCAATGCCTGCCCCCCAACAGTGCCAACTAGCAGACCAGGAGGGAGGACATACTCAGTTCCACAGGACAGATCCCTGCCCATCTGGGGCAGTTTCCAGTCCCAGCTTACCCCTCCAGTCCTTCACATACTTTGTCCCCAAACATAATAGGTCCAGACTAAACACCAGCCCCGCACAATCAGCGCCACCTGCTCTGCCTCGTAGGTGCCTAGAACCTGGCCACAGGGTTTTATTGGATTCCTATCAGTGTTGACCCTGGGGCCTCCCTCCAATGGCCCTAAAGCTCAATTATAGACTGCCAACTATGTCTAGGCTGCTGGACCCTTCCCAAGCCCCCCCAGAAGGTCAGAGCTCCATTCAACATGTGCCAGAAATGACATCAACTTAAAGGCGGGCTCTCACATGCTCCCAACAGGTAATATTCTCTGTCTCTCTCTATCTGGCTTTATGATTCAAGATCATGGTATTTGCATGTTCTCTTAAAAACAAAACAAGGAGCTGGAGAGATGGATCAGTGTTTAAGGGTAATGGCTGCTCTTGCAAAGGACCCAGGTTCAATTCCCAGCACCCACAGGGCAGCTAACAACCATCTGTAACTCCAGTTCCATGGAATCTAACACCCTCTTCTGGCCTTTTCAGGCTTTGAATGACATGGGCGCCCTTACATACATGCAGACAAGCACTCACACATGTAAAATAAAAATTAAAAAGCAAAACAGAGGCTGGAGGTGAGGCTCAGCTAGTGAGGCATTTGCTTCCTGTGCAGGCAGCCCAGTGAAGAGAAAGAAATCTAGTGGTGCACAGCAGTGGTCCCAGCACCTGGGAGGCTGAGGCAGGAGGGTGGGAAATCTTGGACTGGCCCAGTTTACACAGTGAGCTCCAGGCTGCCTGGGCTACATGTCAAGAGTCTGTCTCAAAATGAAAAGTGTCGGATGTGGTGGCGCACGCCTTTAATCCCAGCACTTGGGAGGCAGAAGCTGGAGGATCTCTGTGAGTTCAAGGCCAGCTGGGGCTACAGGGAGGCCCTGCCTCAAAAAGAAAAGAAAAAAAAAAAAAAGAAAAAAGAAAGAAAGAAACCACAAGCAAAACGGGCTGTCCTTATCTTCATATCACTTGTCCCCCAGTTTCTGATCTAGTACCCTGCTTCTACATTTTATTTCCCCCAGCTAGCCAAAGCCAGACAAGGAGGTGCAGACATTTACGCTCCCCCCACACCCAAGGGCTTTCTAAGTTCTACTTTTGGGTAGACCTGCTGTCTGGTTTAATGGCATGGGCTTGGGGGGGGGGCTCCAGCCACCAAGGGACCCCCCACATCCACTCCAGTTCGGATGGATTCCCCACCCCCCGCCCCACCACTTGCCTTCAGAAGGCACCTGGCAGGCTGAGACTGTTGATATTCAAGCCCAGGCCTCCAGACCCCTAGCTCAGGGCCCAGCAGCCACCACGAGCACTGGACTAGAAGTCAGCAGCCCTGGGTTTGGGTCTCTCCTTCATGAAGGTTCCATTAGATTCTAATGATAAACACCACTTCACAAGAGCACTGGGGTTCCTGACAGTTCTAGGCTTTGCCGCTGACACCCCCAGGTATCCCTAGTACACAGCACAACCTTTAAGACCTGTCCCTCCACCGGATCCACCCGGCTGGCTGCCGCAACCAGCTCCTTGCCCGGGCGCGTCCCACTCCCAGTTCAGAAAGGGCACTGGAGCCAGCAGTGCGACCTGTTACCATCGCGGCTCCGGATAAAGTCCCGACTTTTAGAGGCCCGAGAAGTGGTGGCTGGGAAGCGCACTGGGCCCTGCCCCGAGGAGAATCTGTAAACATTAGGGCTCCTGGGTGGGCATGCCAGAATTCGGCTCTCACCCCACAGCCCTTAAAAGCTCCCCAACCCTGGCACACTTGCACGCTCCTTGCCCTCTACCAGGCTCTCCCTGTCCCGATGTCTGCCCCATGATCTAGCCTACTGGTGACTCCAGCCCTGACCTGGAACCTCCCTCGCTCCTCTCCACAACCCTCAGCGGTTCCCGCGGTCACCATGCCCACCATCTGTTGGAAAGTTCGTTGCTCTCCAGTCCTAAGTCTCCGGTGCAACGGGACGCGCCTGGGCGCACTCGCCCAAGGAGACCGGAGGCAGCGCAGACCCCCTCCAGCCGAGCTGCGGCAGAGGGGCCGTTCTCTGCTCTAGGACTCTCCGCACTAGCTGCGTCCGAGCCCGCAGGCCTTGCAGGGTCGCGTGCTCTCGCTACCGTGTCCCCATTATACAGACAAGGACTCTGAGGTTCAGCGCCAGCGTCGCATCCAAACTCCGGGCGGGGTCCCGGGGTCAGAGAGGAGCGAGAGCCGCCCGGGATGGCTGCCCAGTACCGCGCAGAGCACTGGAGGAGCTCCGAGGTCCCGCGACGCCGCAGCGGACAGCCCAGTCCCGGAGCCGCGCGGGCGGGCGCGAAAAGCACACTCTTTGTCTGGGGAGCCCGGCGTGCCCCCGCCCGCCACGTCCCCGGGCCCGCCCACCCGGCGCACCCAGCCAATGAGGCGCGGCGGCGGCGCCCGGAGCGCGGGGTGTTGGCCGCGCGCTCATACGCCCATTGGCTGCGCTTTGCGCCCGGGAGGGCGAGGGAGGAGGTGGGGGAGCTGTGCTCTGCGCCGGCGGGATGCTGCGGCCCGCCGGGCGGGGTGCGTGGCCAGAAGTGAGGGACCCCGGGCGGCGAGCGGGCGAGACAGACGGGCGCACGCAGGGGAGTCGCCACCCAGCCGCCGCTCCGACCGCGGCTGCTGGCGCTCGGACCCCGGAAGCAGCGGCCAGGGCGAGCCGCTGTACAGCTCGCCGGAGCCCCGACGGCCAGCAGCGGGCCCGGGCCCGAGGAGGCAAAGGAGGCAAAGGAGGCGGGCCACCTCGCCGGGCCGGGCCATGGCGCTTGACTTCTTGGCTGGATGCGCCGGGGGTAAGGAGGCGCGGGCTCAGGGGCCGGGGATGCGGGACGGCCACCTGCCGGGCACGCTCCCCTGCGGGCACGCTGCCCTGCGGCCCAGGTCTGCGCTGTAACCCGCGGCTGGCAAAGCTCTGTCCCGAGGTCTGTGGGCCTGGATGACATCAGGGCAGAGTGGCGCTCAGTGCGTGGGGAACCTTCCTGGCCTGCTGGTTGGGAGGTCTGGGGCTCCCGGCTGCTTCGCGGCTTGGCCCGAGGCAGGGACTAGCTGGAAGGATGCGGGCGCCGAACCGGAGGAATCTTTCCCCGCAGCTGTCCTGGGCGAGGCTGGTGCCACCGGGAAATCTCCTGCGCTGGCCGACCTGACCCCAGTGCCCAGTCACGAGGTGGCAAACGACCCTCCCTCATATGAGGTGTTTTGAGTTGCTGGAGGCATAAGAAGAAGGGGCAGAGGTCCACCGGGTGACGGAGTGGGCCTCATGCCTTTAAGCAAGCCAGTCTGATCTGTGAGAGCTTGAGTCAGAGGGCAGGGCAGGTGACCTGCCTGTGACCTGCCGTGGGCACCTGTTGAGCCTTTGTCTCATTTACCTAGACGTTTAGTTTATTCAATAGGTGAGAGCTTGGTTTTGCCACCCGGATTCCAGGTGAACTGACTGAGGCACAGAGGACTGGTTGGTTATGTCAAGATTGGGTTCAAGTCTGAGGCCTGTGGCCTGGATCCTCACCCCTGTGTCTTCATCCCCTTAGTTGACAGCTCTCTACTACTGGCCTGCCAGAAAAGAACTGGCATCAAAGCAGTATTTGACTGGCTGTGACCTTAGGTGGTTAATTTGTGCTTGCTTCCTGCTGGATGGAGGTGGCTGGTCTGACGGGATACCTTTCCTGGGCAGTGATGTGCCCCAGAGGTACTTGAGAACTTCCAGGCTGTTACCCAGTCTCTATTCTGGAAGCTTCAGAAGGGGGACAAAGCCCAGAAATGTCTGGAGGTAGGTGCAGCCATTTATCCCAAGTTCTGAGTGCCAGGGACACAGAGGAGCCCCACCTTAGGCCCCACCTCTGCTCTGCCCAACTGTAGCAGGTGGCTTGAGGGCCCCTTCCATGGTCAAGGCCCCCTTGCAGTCTCTCCAGGGGCAGGGTTCTCTCTGTGGTCATTGCAGTTGTCCTGGGGAGCAGATATGCATCAAAAGTCAGGCCTGCATAGAAACCCCAACCACCCCCACTATTCAATCACTCCTTGGGCTCTTGCTTGGGCAGGCCCCCTACCTGGGATGCCCTTCCTCCCATCCTCACCAGCCCACCGCAGGAAGGTCATGTGCCCAGCCTTAAGCCCTGCTTTGCATGCTCCTCCAGGGTACATGGAGAGTGCCCACTTACATTGGAGCCAGGGCCCGAGGTTTCAGGTACATGAGCATGGAGGTCACCTGCAGAGCATCTTCTGGTCTCACCCAGTGAGGAGACAAAGTCAGGGGGACTAGTCTAAAAAGATCTTGTGGGACTACTAGGAGTAGACAGTGATCTGATTGTGCCCTAGGCCTTCCTGTCACTGCACAGTAGTGCCCAGAGTTGTGCTGTCCAGGAGCAGGCAGCTCACACATGTGGGGATCTGGCCTCTGGAATCACCTTCCTGATTCCTTCCGGTTTGGGCTCCTTCCCACCTGGAGGACAGGCTGATAACAGGGTTTCTCCTCAGAAGGGAGGGTGCATTGTGGGTGTGTCTGACTGGCCTAGCACACACCCTATCCTGATTTAACCTCTCTGCAAGGCAGGACAAGCACCTTGATCGATAGATGGGTGGTTTGGGGGTCATATCTAGCTTCTGCTCTCTTTCTACTGTGAGATCAGTCCCAAATCTTGAGACCACAGTGGCCCCTTGGTTCTGGATGGCCAGAGGGTCATAAGAGATGACTGATCACCTGGCATCTGTGTGAAGGAGACAGACCTTTCATCTCTCCCCATATTGTGCTGTCGGGTGTCTCTAGGACCATGGTCCCCTCCTGCCCTTGAATGATCATGATGTGGGAGTTGCTCTGGCAATGGGCAGTGACTTTGGAGACTTTGGGAGATGGGTCCTCTTCTGCTGGTGTGACAGGCTTAGTGGGTTCTCTCCAGGAGATGGTAAGGCAGGGTTACTTGGCTCTCAAAGGCTGCAGGACTAGAGACCCAACTCCCTTTTCCATTCCTGGAGCATGCAAGTTCTTTAGGTGGACTCCCGCCATCACGTGAGGGAGCAAAGGATATGGGTGGAGAGTGGGAATGCCAGGGCCTGCCAGCAGTGGAGTCCTTGGCAGGTCTCCCTAGTAGAAGCATGGGTAAGGGGCTTCACCTTACTTCATCCTGTCGTCTATGTCCTCCAAGTGGAAAAGGCTTTTGTTGACGCCCGGGCAAGTCTGGGACTAGAGGCCAAGCAGCCCCCCACAGCAAGGGAGTTGGGCTCACAACTGGGACCATGGGTTCTCAGCAGGAGTTAAGCTAGGGCATACCCATCTTCTAGCACACCTGCAGTGTGTGTTAGGCTTTCCAAACTCAAAGGCGATGCAGCTCAACCCAACCAAAGTGATTCTGGAACTAGGCTTTGCAAGTGCAGAAAATGCTAAAGGGGTCTGGGTTGCTTAGCATTGTGAGGTCCTGGGTCCCTCTTCCAGCAACAACTGCAAGTTCAATACAGGTGAAAAAGGTTCTCTCCAAAGGAAACAATACCCCCTCCCTCCAAACACCAGAAACAGGTGAAGTCGGGAGGAAGGTTTAGGGAGGTGAGAGGGTCTGCGGGAGAGAGGGAGCAGGATGGAGAAGACTGATGAATGCATAGTAGTGGAGATTTCCCTGGCTTGGAACGGCATGAATGTGCAGTGAGAGGGCTGGTGAAGTGCCAGGCAGACTTCGTTTAAAGAAACAGGCACCCCCATGGCACCCCCTGGATATAGTCCTGAAATCCACAGATGAACTCTCAGAGATTTCCTGCACACCGTGCCTGGCTTCTGATTGTGGCCCTGGGTGAGGCCCTGCAGACCCTGCCTGGCCCTCACTTCCAATCAAGTGAATGAGGGCAGAGCAGATCCCAGGATGGGAGAAGCTGTAGTTTATAGGTCAAGATTAGGGAAAGTGGTAGTGCTGTGGGGCTGAGTTGGGGTGGAGTCAGGGGCAGAGAGTGCCTTAGGGGGCAGAGGGCACTAACTTTATTCCTCCCTCCAGAAGAGGGGCTGGAGAGATGGCTCAGCAGTTAAGAATACCATCTGTTCTTGCAGAGGACATGGGTTCAGTTCCCAGTACCCACATGATGGCTAACAACCTTCCTCCGTAACCCCAGTTCCAGGGGATCTGACACACTCTTCTGACCTCTGTGGGCACTGCATGGATGTCGTGTACTTACGTACATGCAATCAGAACACTCATACACTTACATAAATAAACAAAAAAATGACTAGTGCATAGTGAGGCATGGTGTTATCTCAAGCCTTGGGGAAGCAGAGGCCAGAGGATCGCTGCAAATAGGAGGCCAGCCTAGTCTACAGAGCAAGTTCCAGGCCAGCCAGGGCTGCATAGTGAGATGCTGTCTCCAAAAATGAAAAATTTAAAAAAGGACAGAAGCATGAAACAGGATCAGGTACTGTGTGAGGATACCAGGCAGAGTTTAGAGCGTGGATGTGCACTGACCTTCAGTCACCCACCCTTTCGCATCTCCAGGTAAGGTCTGTGGCCAGCCCCTAAAGGGACTGGGAATGTGATCAGGCCGGGTTTCATCACTTACTGGCTGTGTGCAATGGATGTACTGCTTTTTGGTTTTGGTTTTCTCATAGGTAAAAGTCATCCTGTGAAGCGGGAGGGTTAGGATCTTACAAAACCAAGAAGACTGGCCAGCAGACTGCAATGCTGCTGTTTATTATGCAGCAAACAGCCATTTTAATTAGACGTAAATTGCTAGCAATAAAAGGAGACTTTTTGCAGTGTTGAGGGAGGAGCCTGGGCCTCAGGCACTACCACTGAGCTACTGACCAGCCCCAAAAGGGCTCCTTGACAGATGTTCACAGGTTCTAGAGAAGGAAGCATCTGTTTGTCTCACTGACATCACTTTCTCCTTCAGTGAAATGGAGTCATTGGGCTGCCCTTCACAGGTGGTGGCAGAGCCATTCTCAACCTTCAGGACTTGGGAGTGCTCTTATGCCTTTTAGGAGATGTGAACCTTGCTCTTGCGGGGGCAGGGTCTCTGGCAGGCCCTGAACTGGTGAATAACTAAAGCATGAGTCAGGGCACTGAGGTGCCTCCCTGGGCTTGAGGCTCTCTGGCAGGGAGCAGAGGTCTTCAGGCAGTGTTTCTTGGAGGTCCTAACCTCCAGGCCACCATGGGATGGGGGTAGATGTTCAGCATCTTTCCAGTGAGGAGGATGATGCCCAATGAGTCCTTCCTGAGCATACCCAGCTCAGAAAGGCCCCTTGCTCAGTAGCAGAGGGAAAATTCAAATCCAGATGATAGGGCTGGGCTTGGTGGTGCATACTTTTAATGCCAGCATTCAAGAGGCAGAGGCAGGTTGATCTCTGTGAGGTTGAGGGCTGCCTGGCCAGCTGCTCTACATAGCAAGTTCCAGGCCAGCTGGGGCTACAGGGAGACCCTGTCCCAAAAACAAACACCAAAACAAACACATCCTGGTGCTGTTGGCAAGCTGACCTCCAACTCCAACATCCCTGAAACTGCTGCTGTGTGAGGCATCATTTAAAGCTATGGGACACTTCCGAAATGGTGCTGTGCCATTTAGGGGACACTTTGGTGACCACAGACTCATCATCTTCCAAGGTACAGAGGAAGGGAAGGAAATCAGCCTTGAGCTAAGCAGGTGTTGCCTAGCTCTTGTTACCAGAGGAGTTTCTGGGATGGGCCCAGAGCCCTGCAGTTGCCTCAGCGTCCCTTCCACGTGCAGTGTCTGCCCAGCCTTCCTTGCTAGAACCTCACCTCCCAGAACCCAAAGTTCAAGGCACTTGGTCACAGGTACCCTTTCCTTCCAGGTGTGGCAGGTGTGCTTGTGGGACACCCGTTTGACACAGTCAAGGTGAGTCTCATCATCATTTCATTCCCATACCCTTGTAGATGTGGGAGACAGGCCTGTAGGGCTTCTGCCCCAGGAACATGTTCACGGTCATGCCTGAGGTTTTGGAATGAAGGTACAGAGTTCTTCAAGACCATCAGGTGGGCAGCTGCTTTCCCACTGAATGAACTGACCCTTGTTTCTGGACTTGTTCTGACAAATTGGGGCTGAAGGCCAAGTTTATGCTCTGCTTGGCCAGCTGAAACTGAGGTGCTGATGGGCAGGTTTCTTATCAGCCAGAGTGAGGAAGCCTTGCCTTCCAGATACAGAATTCCCTTAGCATTTTCTTGAAAGAAAGTTAAGAGGGAAAAAAAAAGTGCAGAAATACAAGGCATCAGAACCTGTAGGGCCAGGTGTGGTAGCGCACACCTGGAATTCCAGCCCCTGGGAGAACGGAAAATTTGAGGTCAGGTAAGTGCACCCATGTCAGACCCATGGAGGTTGGAGGCAGGCATCAGATCCCCTGGAACTTGAGTTGCAGATGGTTGTTGGCTGTCAGGTGGGTGTTGGGAATTGGGCCCAGGTCCTCTGTGGGGGAGCAGCCAGAGCTCTTGAATGCTGGGCCATCTCTGCAGCCCCTGCTCTTATTAATTTTATTCTTTTTTTAAAAAACTTTTAAAAATTTTCTATTTATTTTTATGTGTATGTGTGTATTGCTTGCATGTAGGTAAGTGCACCCGTGTCATGCAATGCCCACAGAGCTCAGAAGAGGCTGTCAGATCCCCTGGGACTGGACTTACGGACAGTTGTTAGCTGCCATGTGGGTGCTGGGATTTGAACCCAGGTCTTCTGCAAGAACAACCAGTGTTCTTAACCACTGAGCCGTCTCCAGCCCCTATTCATTTTATTAAAAATTATGAAAAACTGTATACAATCATTTCTCCATCAGGAAAGGAATGGGAAATAAAAATTCTACATGTAGACATATACTGATACACTAAATGGGTAGTAAAAACAGTAGTTATTGACAGACGAGGAATAATTAGAGTAGACCATAGAAACAGTGTAACTGGAGATGAATTGAAAAGTATAAGGCACACTGGGTGTGGTGGTGCACGCCTTTAACCCCAGCACTTGGGAGGCAGAGGCAGGTGGATCTCTGGGAATTCCAGGCCAGCCTGGTCTACCTAGTGAGTTCCAGGACAGCTGGGGCTACAAGGAGACCCTGTCTCAAAAAATAAAAACAAAAGAACCTGAAAAGTGTAAGACACCATGTCAGTGCTAGATAAGGACTGTATCAGCAGAATTCATGTTTAATGTATATATGGTAAACACATACATGTATGTGGATATATACATTCATATTCAAATTTTACACACACACACATATATATATATATATGTATACATATACACACACATTTTGGAAATGAGTTGTCACTGTTTGGCTTGGCCTGGCCTTAATCTCTCCATGGAAAGCATAGCTTCCTCGGTGTAAAACCCTGTGCCACCATGCCTGGCCAGAATTTCCAAATGTACACCTTCTCTTGTTTTTCAGTCATTTCTTACTCCCAGATTTGTAACATACATGTGCTGGGGAGAGAGGCAGGTATAAGACATGAGAAGGCATGCTTATATTTCATCTTAAAACAGGGAGATCACTTGTGATAGAGATAACTTTGTGAACAGCAACAAATGTTAAAATATTTATTAGGCAATACTGTGCTGAAAAATTGTGTGGTTTTTTTTTTTGGTCTTTTTGAGACAGGGTCTCCCTGTAGCCCCAGCTGTCCTGGAACTCACTGGGTAGACCAGGCTGGCCTTGAACTCCCAGAGATCCTCTGCCTCTGCCTCCCGAGTGCTGGGATTAAAGACTGCGCCACCACTTGGCCTGTCATTTGTTTTTTAAATTTTAATTTTTACGTTTGTGGACATCATACATGGACACTGTTTTTGCGTTACTTCCATTGCTCGCAGACCCCTCTAACTCTTCCCCTATCCCCTCTACTCCTTCTCAACGTCATGTCCCCTTTGATTATTACTGTTACATGTGCATACATAATTTATAAACACACATGCACACATATAGTTCAGTTAGGGAAAAAAAAAAAAGAAAATTTGAGGTGAGGGAAACCCTACCTCAGAAACGTCTGGGCGTGGTAGCAGATGCTTATAGATTCGGGAGGCTGAGGCAGGATAATCACACTTGAAGTCAGCTCAAGCTGTATAGCAAGACCCTGTCTCAAACAGAAATGAACTCCAGGTATGTCCCTCACATGGTCTTCATGAATCAGTGATTAGCAGGCCTGTTTTGAGTGCTGGTGTGTGTCCTTTCGTGTGGTGTGGCCTAGGACCTAAGGAATACCCCCCTTAGGTGGCCAGGACTCTGAGCACAGAGGCAGGTACTCAGCCAGCTCTGCTCGGTATCACACACAGTGAGTAACTGGAGTTCCAGGTTCTTAGGCCCCCAGGGCAGAGGCGACCCTCACCCTTTGGTGGAAAACCCCAATGGAAGTTTCCCTAGTAGCTCTCTTCCTAGGACCCAGGTAGCTGTTGCCTCAGGGCCCTAGATCAGACCTCCTGTACTTGAGAACTGGAGCTTGGCTCCTTTTTCCCATTCAGGTGTGGGCAGAGCTGGAGGCTAGCACGTCATCCTGAGCTGGATTGAGGTGCACTTCCTGTCCTCTCTTTTTAGTGAACCAGGTGTTTGTTGGCAAAGAAAAGAAAAGAATTTATTAATTCAGACCTGGGATTTCTTCCAGTGTGGGCATAAGGGCTTGGCCTAGTGCACTGGCTTTGACCTTAAAAAGTTCTGTCCCTGGTCCAAGCCTCTTCTGCCAGCTAACTTTAGTGCCTGACCTTGGGCCAGCATCTGTGAAAGGAGGGGGTTGATGGGGTTCCCAAGGGCCCTCTGCTCAGTGCTTACCAGGATAATGTGTGTTGGATGAATGCAAGTTCTGGACAGCGTAGACTTCTGGACAGCGTAGACTTTGGTCACCCTACAGCAGGCACACCTGTGGAGAGGCTGGAGAACAGGTTCTCTTGGCGAGCAGTGGCCCCTCAGTTTCCTGCACAGGGCTGCAAGGGTCAGGCCCTGGCAGAACCTGTACCAGGAGGTGAGCTGCCATGCCCACACTGCGTGGCTGGCCCCCCATGAGGCCAACCGTATCCTCCTGGTTCTGTGTTTATATCTTGTTGGTCATGTGTGTCGAACACCTCCCACAACTGGGTCCAGCCAAGAAGAGCCTTGGACTCACTTCCTCAGCCAGGCTCTGCGGAGGCTTTGCCTCTCTCAGCTGACTTGGCTGAGCCTGGCTTGGGTGGCCCCCTCAGGCTGGAGAACACTTTTGTTCTGGTGACCCAACTCTTCTGGAGCTGCTGAGTTCGTGGCCACACCCCTGCAGTTATTTTAGCTACAGGAGTCAATCTACTGCCCACTGCTCCACAGCTGGACACCTGGAAGGTGGTCTTTGAGAAAGTTATTTGTGCCCCTCACCATGGTGGCCCATGGGCATCACATTTGAGCAAAGTGGCCTTAAAAGGCTGCTTTCAGCTCAATGTGGTGGCGCATACCTTAAATCCCAGCAATTGGGAGGCAGAAGCAGCTGGATCTCTGTGAGTTCAAGGCAAGCCTGGTCTACAAGGTAAGTTCCAGACCAGCCAGGGCTATAGAGTGAGATCCTGTTTTAAATTAAAAAACAAAGAACACCTGAGCTTTTTATCATGAAGGGAGCAGATCCACCTGAGTCAGTCCTGTGACCCTCCACACCCACTCCCTGCCTCCTGCTGTTACATTGAGCCCATCATGGGGTCCAGTCACTGGGCTTAACTGTCAGCAGTGGCCTCACTGCTCTGTTTCAGTATTGACTTTAGGTTCTCTCATTAAAAGAAAATGAGGAAATGCACAAAAGCCCATTTCTTCTTCCCCCAAACAAAGCAGTTTTACACTTTGGGTGTTGCCTTCAGAATCTGAGCCACAAGGGTGTCTAACAACCATTTGGTTTGCCAGGGTCTTCATGTGTATCCTAGGCTGGCCTTAAACTCAGTCTTCATGCTTCAGCCTTAAGTGGAGTGGTAGGTGGTATCTTTGAAATGTATTTTAGTCATCAGGCATGTACACATTCTTTTGTTGGTGTTTGATTACAAAAGTAATATAGGGGACTGGAGAGATGGCTCAGTGGTTAAGAACACCCGCTGCTCTTGCAGAGGACCCAGGTTTGAATCCTAGCACCCACATAGCTGCTAACAACTGTCCGTAACTCCAGTTCCAGGGGAATCCAATGCCCCCTTCTGACTCCAAGGGCACAACACAAGTGCACTTAACACGCATGCAAGCAATACACTCATACACATAAAATAAAAATAGTAAATAAAAAACCCCAAGAGTAGCATGGGTTTAAAAAACCCACCTTAACCATGACCATGGTAGAGACAAACTAAAAAGAGAAACAACTTGCATAGCAGTTTCCACAGCCCTTGTGAGTAACTCACAGTGAGAAAAAGTCAGTGTGTGGGCCTCACCCGGGTAGGGGTAGGGTTGCCCTTGGTGGAGTTTCGAGACTAGTGAGCACTAGTGGGGACAGACCAGCTGGTCCTTCTGTCCTCACCTACCCAGGGTGAGGCCCTGAACCCCGCCTCGAGTTCCTTCGACTAGCTGGGCCAGGAAGGACATGAGGTGAGTTGGGCCCAGGACAGGTGCTGGGCAGGTGGTGAAAAGCCAGTCCCTATGGATCTGGGGAGACTTGTATGTCATCACCCTTCAGCCCTGTGGATAGCTGGGAATCCTCAGGACATGGGTGCAAATGACCATTTTCCCAAGCCCTGTTTCCCTTCTTCCTCAAAGGAGCCCCAGTTACCCCAAAACATTAAGAACTGATTACAGGATGAGGCCATGTTTAGTCCTGATTTGGTTCCCAATACTCCGAGTCAGCAAGAGCCCCTCCCAGCCCCAGGTGCCAACAGCATCAGTAGAGGAGCCTGGCTGCCTAAACCTGCTGTTCCTTCAAGCTGGCTGGACCTGCAGAGTGACAAGAGGGCCGTTTCACATCAGCCCCTAATGCCAGTGCTAGGGCTTATGGTGTCTATAGCCTGAGCTCATGGAGGGCCTTTGTTCTTCTGAGACCACCCCTTCCTTCAAGCCTGGTAGAGTGCCAGGCAGCCAGGGTAGCAGGGGTCTGGGGTCAGCCACTCCTGGGAATTGCCTACCTACCCTAGAGGTCCTGTGTGAGGAAGTGGTAGTTTCTCCTTGTGTGAATGCGTTCTCCAGCCAAAGATCCATGGGGAGATGGTTGCGGGCGGCTGAAGCCTGGCTGTCCCTGGGAAGGGCACTCCCCCACCACCATCCTAGCCCACCCTTACCTCCACTCCTATCCCTGGAGACAACAGCCTTGGCTGTTGGAGAATACCTGAGGCTTGGCCTTTCCATCTTGGAGCTGTAACCCAAGTGGGCAGATGTGTTAGTGCCCAGGGCTGAGTGTGAGGCTGCCGGGTTCAGAGGAGGCTCTCCCCTGGGTTGGGCTTCAATGAGGACCATTTCTTTGTGGGATTTCGGGTTTATTTTTATTTTATTTTATGTCTTTTTGAGACAGGGTCTCCCTGTAGCCCCAGCTGGCTTGGAACTCATGTAGACTAGGCTAGCCTCAAACTCAAGAGATCTGCCTGCCTCTGCTGGGATTAAAGGCATGTGCCACGACACCGGGCTTAGTTTTAAAATATTTATTATTTTTATTTTATGTGTATTAGTGTATTGCTTACATACAGGTAGGTGCACCCATGTCATGAAATGCTCATGGAGATCAGAAGAGGGCTTTGGATCCCCTGGAGGAGCTGGCATGTGGGTGTTCGGAATGGAACCTGGGTCCTCTGCAAGAACAGCCAGTACACTTAACTGCTGTGCCATCTCTCCAGCCCCAGGGCTTTGAATTTTTAAAAAATCTTACTTACTTACTTTTGGTGGTGCTGGGAATCAAACCCAGGGCCTCCTACAGGCTAGGTAAACATTCTACCACTGAATTATAACCCCAGCCCAATCCTGTATGATTTGATCTAGTTTCCCCCCAGTAGCGACGTGGATTCCCAGTTCAGGCAGTGTCCCTCTCTGCCACTATTGAGCCTGCGCATCAAGAGCAGATAGATTCTCGGGCAACAGAGCGCTTTGCCACAGAAGAGGATCTGGACCACTGGGCCTGGAGTTATTGCCATGGGTCCCTAGGTTGTCAACTGTCACTGCTCATACTCATGGCCAGGATTCTCAAGGGGAACCAAGCAGGAGTGGCACTGAAGCTCCTGGAGGTTGGGTTGGTGGATACCAGGCTGTAGCCCCTGCCTTTGTCTGAGGACTTGCGGACACCCCCCCCCATCCCTCTGCAGTGGCTTTCCTGTAGCTGTTGGCTCTCACAGCCAGCCCTGCCCTGGAATCTGAGGGTTCACAGGAAGCTTCTTGGCAGGTGCGGCTGCAGGTGCAGAGTGTGGAGAAGCCCCAATACCGAGGGACGCTGCACTGTTTCCAGTCCATCATCAAGCAGGAGAGTGTGAGTGCTGGATTGGGGTGGTTGTAGGGTTAGGGAACTGGCCCTCGGGTGCTACTACCTGCCATGCCAGAGTCTCGGGAAAGGTCATTAGAGCTTGTGGGTGGGCAGGGGGCTGTGGGTATGTGAAATGGTTGTTGCCTGGGCTGCTTGGATTGAGGATTTTGCATATTTCCCATGAGCAGTTGGGTGGGCTATGCTGTCTGCATAGAGAGACTGAGGACAGTGTCTGGGCAACCAGAGGCCCCTGAGTAGAGTGGCTTCCTGCAGCCTTGACACCCCTGTCTCCGCAGGTGCTGGGTCTGTACAGAGGCCTGGGCTCACCACTCATGGGGCTTACCTTCATCAATGCGCTGGTATTTGGGGTACAAGGCAACACCCTCCGGGCCTTGGGCCAAGACTCACCACTCAACCAGTTCCTGGCAGGTGCAGCAGCAGGTGCCATTCAGTGTGTCATCTGCTGCCCCATGGAGCTGGCCAAGACACGGCTGCAGCTGCAGAATGTGGGCCCTGCCCGCACCTACAAGGGTTCCCTGGACTGCCTGGTGCAGATCTACCGCCAGGAGGGCCTGTGTGGCGTCAACCGAGGCATGGTGTCCACACTGCTGCGAGAGACACCCAGCTTTGGTGTCTACTTCCTCACCTACGATGTGCTGACACGTGCTATGGGCTGCGAGCCAGGTGACCGCCTGCTGGTGCCCAAGCTGCTGCTGGCGGGAGGTACATCGGGCATCACGTCCTGGCTTTCTACCTACCCTGTGGACGTGGTTAAATCGAGACTGCAAGCTGATGGGCTGCAAGGAGCCCCGCGCTACCATGGCATCATCGACTGCGTGCGCCAGAGCTACCAGGCGGAGGGCTGGCGTGTCTTCACACGTGGGCTGACCTCCACCCTGCTGCGTGCCTTCCCTGTCAATGCTGCCACCTTCGCCACTGTCACTGTGGTGCTCACTTACACTCGAGGCAAGGAAGCCCGGCCAGAGGGTGAGGCAGTGCCCGCAGCCCCTGCTGCCCCTGCAGGGCCCACCCTGGCCCAGCCTTCCAGTCTGTGATGTCTGTTCCACCACCCTCTCCAGGGTCACTTTGCTAAAGCAAATTGGCTGGTGGTGGTCACCACAGTCGATCCTCCACTGGCCTCCATTTTCCTAGCTGTGAAATGAGGACTTTCTTGCATGGTACATTTGGGATGGTCGGGGGCAATGCCTGGCTAGACCTAGCCCTGTGCCTGGCTGAGTGTGTGTTCTGCAGCTGGAACTGCCACCCAACCTCTCCAGCCCTAGCACTCCCAGGGGTGTCTCCTGAGCCACCTGTAACAAGCTGGCCAAGGACCTGCCAATTCCCCATAGATCCTCCACCCAACTAAGCACCTTGGGTACTGGTGCCCAGAGATACTCCAGTACCTCTTGTCATTTAGAGGCAGAGGGCAGCTTGGAGTTCTCCTGGCCTAGCACAGCCCCTCCTCACCTGTGTACCCAACATCTCAGTGGCTGCCCCCAAACTGCAGGGGATCCCAGGGTCCTGGCACCAAGCTTGTTGAGTCTCTCATCAGTCTAGGGACCCAATGGGGGACAGGCCAGTAGTGAAGGTCTGTAGTACAACAATTCCTCTTACCTCTGGGTCTCAGGCTACCTGTTTGTAAAATGGGGACTGACGGCCAGAATGCCCCATGGTGGAAAGATGCAGTGTGGGATCCACTCTCCAGAAAATGGTGTTTTGCGGGGGCAGTCTCCTCCATGCCTGTGCCTCTTGAAGCAGAGGTCTTAGTTACAGGCACAGTATAGCCAGCTTGGGTCCTTCTGAGCACAGGACTATGACAAGCACTCCTAGGAGGCAGACTGTTCAAACGGGGCAAGTCTTCAGCTCTCTAGGTGAATGTTGCTGTTGTATATGATCCTCTGAAGGAATAAAGTTATTGTTTTTCAAGTGTCTAAGGCTCCTGTGTCGTGGTATGAGGGGCTTTGTTCCCTTCCTCATCATGGATTGGGGTGGCTGTGGTCTGTGTACATGGATCCAGGTGACTTGGGACAGGTCCACAAGGTGGGTCAACGGAGGCATGAGAGTTACTTGAGGTAAAGCTACAAACATGCCATTTAGCAGGTACACTTGCAATAAAGCACACAAAACATTCATATACACAACATAATAAATGACGCTTATGAGTACACCAAGTCATAGCAGAACTTATACCAGATCCAGACGGACCCGACCCTCCGGGACTAGCTAAAAGGAAGCATTGGGCTGGCGAGATGGCTCAAAGGTGCTCACCTAGTGACCTACATTAGCCCTGGAACCCACACGGTGGAAGGAGAGAACCAACTCCCTCCAAGTTGTCCTCTGACCCGCCCCTGGGTCACTCCTCTGGCTATTGTCATATGTGCAATTGTGTGGTCTGAGTATCAGAGTAATTAAGTCAATTACAATAATCTGTGATTGTCATTATCTGGCTATCAAGGAAAATTGGGATTTACTTGGCAAATCACAGCTAATGGAATTGACATAGCTTGTGAGTTTACTGGCCCTGAACTCCCAGAGATCTGCCTGCCTCTGCCAGCTATGCAGGCCACATGTCCCTGAGGTAGCTAAAGCAAACTGAAGTCAGGGGCTGGGACTTCTGAGAGCTTTGTGAAACAGCCATGTACTGTGGCCCACCTCAGGTCTCTGACCCTGCCCTCCACACTAAAATACAGCCAGAAGACCTGAGGATGCGGCAAGAAACACTGGCCTTAGTGGGCCTGTGGACGGCCAGGCACAGTCCACCTTTACTGCCCCTTGGCTTCTCTGCCCTGGGCCATCAAATGCATCACAAGCTGTAGTACAGGGCTTAGGGCCAGGGTCCCCTTGCTGCATCTGGCAGTCACTGGCAGGCTTTCATTGAAGATAGGATCTGATTCATGCTTTAAAAACTTCGTAGTAAGTTGTGAGGCAAGTGGGCCCAGGGAAAAAAGGGGGCAGGCCAGGTGAGGTGGAAGCTTAAGGTAGCTGAGTCAAAGTGCACCTGGAAGCCAAAAATAGAGTGCTCCAGTCCAGGCAGGGAGTGCTCCAAGTGTGAAAATGTAGCCCCGGAGATGGGCGGAGTCAAGCTATGTAACAGGAACAGTCTGAGCCGCTGACGTCTGGATCCTGTTGTGCACCACTTTCCTTGGCTCCTCAAAAAAAACGGCTTATAAAGGGCATGGCTACAGCAGCTGTTTCTTGGAGGGCTTTGGGGGACAAAACCTGGAGGGGCAGAGAGAAGGGACAGGCCAGGGAGGGATGGAGCTTGGGGCTGACCTCAGGGCTAGAGGCCAGCTGTAGAGAGGCACCTTCCTGATGGCCCAACCTGGGCAGGGCCTGTGCACACTGAGCCGGCCTTTCACTTCTAATCACTCTGGTCTTCATGTGCACAGAAAGGACGGAACTGAAGCCACCTCGTGCAAGGCACATCCCTGCCTTGGCCTGGAGTGAATTGTTTCTCATCCTTCGTCACACGTTGCCCTTTCACAGGCTTCCACAATGAGTGGGTTCTGGAACTGTAGGGACAGCAGCTTGGCGTGTGGTACACTATCCATTTATTTCTCAATGGCCCTAAAAGTCCATACCATACACCTGTATCACATGACTTGTGCTAGGACCTGACCCCACAGCCCTCACTAGGCCCTACCATCCTTCACAGGGCAGCAGAAGAGCCCACTTAGGACTGGCCTGGGCAGGTCCCCACCAGGTCACTGGCTGGCTGACTGGCCAAGCTCTGTGGCCAGAGGTAACATTAACCTGGAGTAGTGGGTGGTTCAAGCACCAAAGGATGAAGGGAGGGCAGGCCCAGGACCCGCTGCATGCTCTGATCTCTGCTTTCTTACCTTAGACATTTCAGCTGCCTGACAGCTGGGTTTGGATTCCACTTCTGGGGACAGCCTTGCTGGGCCAGTCAGTGTCTACCCCAACCAGGGAATCCAGAGGGGGCAGTAGTAGCTTCAGGGGATGTGCTGATGAACCAGATGCTCCCTGCTCAACCTCCTCACAGCTACATTCCTAGGCAGATGGGGGCCCTTGAGGGGGCACTGCTAGGGCATGCTTGGCTAGTGACACCACAGGCTGCGATGGGTCTCTTTCAAGTCTGGATGAGCAAATACATTTCAGCCTGAATGTGCACATGGGCAGTCTACAGCAGGGACACAGGATGCTGAGCTCTGTTCCATGTGTTAACAGTACCTGAACAATTCTGTTTGTCTCTCTAACCTCCACCAGGCTGGAGCCAAGGGATCCAAGTGTGCTACTGGATGGATGGATGGATGGATGGATGGATGGATGGATGGATGGACGGACGGGAGGGAGGGATGGGATGGGATGGGATGGGTGGGGCCAGAGGCTGCCAGGCAGAGCTAGGCTGGGCTTCACCATGCAAGTATAGAGGGGTGCAAAGGAAGGCAAGAATGGAAATGTGGGCTCAAGGTTAGGAGCTGGATGTGGTGGGCAATCCTTTAATCCCAACACGCAGGAAGCAGAGGCAGGTGGATCTCTGAGGATGAGGCTGGCCTGGTCTACATAGTGAGTTCCAGGCCAGCAGGGGCTATACAGGGAGACCCTGTCTCAAAAAAATAAAGCAAAAAAACAAAGAGGACAGTCAGGGAAGGTAATTCTAAAGAGTATAACTCTTGATGCTCAGTCTGGAAAGGCATTTGAATGTGGCCCTGGGAAGTAGATATCCATGTTTCCCAAGTACCACCACTACAAACACTAGAGACCAGAATGCCTACTGGGCCTCTGGTGAAGTTCTTGGGTTTTCTAAGGGAAGAATGTAGAAGAACCTAGGTGTGTGGGGTTGCCTGTTTGTAACCAACCATGATAGAACTGGGGTCCCAGGAGAACTACATCAATCACTTCTTCCAAAGGCAGCATCTTCACACTCTAACCACCCTCAACTAGATCCCACCTGTTGAAAAGGCAGCACCAGCTTAGATGACAAGTTTCTTGCTTGCCTATGTCGCCCAGCTCTCTGTCCTAACTGCCCATGCGCTGGCCTCTGTATAACTGGTAGTTCAGAGCTTCCGAGCATAGGCAGACCCTCGAAGGGTGCCTGGGAAGGCTGGAGGTTAAAGGAGCAGATCCTGGTCACACTGCCCAGGGCAAGAGGGGTATGCACAAGGCTAGGGTGAGGCAGCTCAGGCAACTCCCCAGTCACCAAGCTCACAAGCAACCCTGGCCCACAGTGTCCTCCCAAGGCAGAAGACGGAGTAGCAGCTCAGGCAGCCTAGGCAGCCCTTGGGGTCTGGGCTCAGCTGGGGGGACCAAGGGAGTGCCTGATATATAACCCATGGCAGATCCTACAGAGGAAGCCTGGCAGCTCCTGAGAACATCTACTGGCCCCGTCCTGTCTCCTCTTCAACCCTACTTTCTCACAGCACACAGCACACCTTCTACTGGAGCTTATCTAGTAGGGATGATACAAGTACCACTGGGGAGTCCCTTAAACACCCTCTAACACGTAAAACACAGAATCATTGACCTGGGAACCCTGCAAGGGAAACTTTGGAAGTGAAAACTCTTGAGAGACAGAGGGAGGGAGACAAGATTCCTCTGGACGGTTGGGAGCTGGATAGGGCACTGAGCACCAGGCTGCAGACAGTGCAGTCCAGTGAGGCCAGCAAGGCTCCACTGGGTGCAGCTGGGCCTAGAGGAGGGGCAGTCTTTCTGATGTTCACAGCAGCCCACTGTTCTATTCCAGAAAGTCCCAAGCTGGGGGAGGAGGCCCCATGCACTCCATTTGCAAAGAGCCAGGGCCTCTGTGAAGAGGGGGTTGAAAGGTAAGTCAGGCCAAGGGATGAGAAGCAAGCACCATGCAGTTAAAGCTAACAGGCCTGGATTTTAAACCATCTGCAGGTAAACTTCTGGGCCTGTTTCTTCATTCTTAGTGTAGTAATAATGCTCCCCAGTTCCTTGGGTAGCTCAGGGATCAACTGACACATTCACGGGGCCATGGATGGCCTTGGGCAGCCAGGTTGTCATCAAACGTTGCAGCCAGGCGGTGAAGCAGGCTGGTGGATGAAGAGCGGCTCCCAAACCCTCAGGTTGCCCCTACCAACTGAATATGTATGCACCAAGGTCCATCCCTGCCGCTGCTGAGTCTACACAGGCCTCAGGTTGGGGTTCACTGGCTGCTCACCGGCTGGGGGCCTTGCCACCTCAGCAACACTGCCAGCAGTCCCATTTATCATCCACAAAAGGAGGGAAATATTGGAGAGCGGCAGGGGCCTCCCTTAGCAGCACACCAGGCTGCAGGGCCCCAGGCAGGCGGTAAAGCACTGCTCTGCACCATGTTGGGCCGAGCAGCTTATTTCACCAAATTTTGAGTGCATCTTTTGGCTCTCAAGCGTCCAGGGCTGACACTGGGGACCACAAGCCCAACTGCATTTGCAGGAGAACCTCACTTGGCTGTGCTTTCTGGAAAGCACAGGAGGAGGTTCTTATTCAAACTCCTCTTGGCCTGAGAGCAGGAAAACATGTCTCGCTCTTGTGACTGAGTCTCAGGCATTTTGTTCCTGGGTGAGAAGGGAAGGCACAGCAGCTGTCCCCGTGGATTTGGGAAGCCTCCAACAAGGCGGGAGAGGGCATCCTCCATGTTTAATGTGCAAAGACACCCGGCAGAGGAAGAACAAACGAGAACCACAGGCATTAAAAAGCTTAACATTATGCGTTTATTATATTTTATAGAGCCATGTTACACATGCTTGGTGCTTTAAACTGAGTTATCAATGTTTTCCTGGATGCAAAGCCATCTGATGCTTGATGCGGATGCCTTAAATACTATAATATTTCTGTGTCTATGACCTATGAGCTAAGGAAAACCAAGGACAATTCCAGAAACAGCAAAGAACACTTAAGAAAAAGATGTACATGAGATACAATGCAAAGTCCTTGAGCCAGGGCCTATAGAAGTTCCCAGAAAATGAACACAACAGAATCTTTCATGTCATCTGTAGATATCAGTCTAACAGCTGCTGGCATTACTGAAAAAAAAAAAGGCTCTGGTACTGATGCCTTCTCCCCTACATTATGTTACATATGCAGACACAATGCGGCCCAAGGCAGGGAGGCAGGCAGCACAGCACAGCAAGCTGCCCATCCCCAATGCCAATTCTTAGGGTGTCTGAATGGCCTTAAGTGGTCAACGTCATCAAACATGCTACTTTGCGGCACGTCAAGCACTAGGCTTCAGATGGATGCAGTATCATCCCCTCCTCAATAAACTCCAGGATGCTGGCTGGGGACACAGGGCTGGGGCGCAGCCTGGCCAGAAAGCTCCATGCAGCACCTTGTGATCAGTGGAAAGTTCCCTCTGCCTACTGCCCTGCTGCCAATAGTCAGTTTCAATGCTCCCTCACAGTTCTTAGAAGAGCACTAAGTGATGTTCGCTCACAACTGCCAACAAGTCTCCAAGCCATCCCAGCTACACGATCTTCCTGGCACCACCCCGACCATTTAGGCTCAGGGAAGACGCCACAAAGCCTGTCAGGCACACAACGACCCTTTTCCCTGCCTGGTGCCACGCATCTGAACACCACCTGAAAGTTCTAACAAGCTAAGTCTGAGGTCAGTAATTTGGAGACCTAGCCAGTCACCTGGTCAATGCTGCTGGGAGGCAAGAGTGATTCTCGAAGTACCTTTTGTTCTGACTAGCCAAAGAGCAGGCTAGAGCTACAGGCAAGCATGCTCTAGAGTTCTAACTTCCAGCTAAGACTTTAGGCGGCGTGCATCTGCCGAGCCCTGCCTGTGGGGCCTGAATTCTGAAGAGGTGAGGTCACACTAACACCAGAGGAGCGAGGAAAAGGGCACAAAGTCAGACAGGGGCTCCCGAGGACCAGAGGTCTGGCAGTCCGATCCAGGCAAGGAGCTGGTTTTGGCAGCCAGCAGGGCAGCTAGGAGGGTGCCTCTCCATAGTCAGGCATCCAGTGACTACTCGGTGCTCACTCTGTTCTGACCCCTGGGATCCCACCCTTGCTGTAGGCCAGATGTTGAGAGAACAGACTAACACTGCAGATTCCCTAAGACACTTCAGCATCAGAGGAGAGAGTGAGCCAAGGCCATCAGTTCTCTGAGCATAGTGGTGGGTGAAGGGCCAGGTTTCCTGGGCCATAGATGGAAACTCTTAAGAGACAAAGGCAAGTCCTGCAGAGTGGAAAGGCTGGCGGGTACTAGGCCAGGTCAGCATTGCACCACCACTCATGAGCACATCTCACTGATGGTAGATTCTCATCTCTGCCAAGAATGAGCTCCAACCCTGCTCACAAACACAGGCAGGAACTGTAACCTCCCCCCCCAATGGGCCTTACATTCTCAAATTTAGCAAACCAAGTGACATCGAGAAGAACCTGTACATGGAAACCAAAACAGGAAAAAAAAAAAATCTAGATTTTCCTCAACTCCTCGGGCCTTGCGTCTAGGCAAAGCACAAACACACATGGTGTGAAACCAACACAGCGTGAGCTCGGTGTCCCCATGGGAAATAAATGTCACTCTGGAGTGACAGCTCTTTATACAGATAATATGCCCCCAACCCCACTACCAAAGAGGGGGAAAGAACAAATTCAAAAATAGAAAACAATATCTTGTTAGGTGTAAACTTACTCTCTGGAGTTTTTACATTATATTTGCGAAAACATGCATTTATTTCTGCTCAGGTGTAAGAAAATATGTCTATCAGTATTACTTACAAACCAGATTCTCTAGACAATGGACTCACTGTTAGAACACCATTTCAAATTTTAGTAAATTACATCTGTAACAAAATTATAAATTCTAACAAGCAAAACGGGTTTGAGTCAAACCCAAGGAGAACTGCCACTACTCTTTTACACCGTTTGTTTCCTACGCTACTGCTGTAAATCCAGAGTGCTATGTCAAGGAACTGCATGAGTTTGCTTTGAATCCCACACTGAACTAATGAAGGGAACTGCAGCCGAGAAGACACGTGAACACAGAAATGGGCAGAGATCGATGACTACTCCGCTCAGAAAGGGACACAGAGATGACTGAGGCCATCTCCCAAGGGATCAAGGCACAGAGGAAGAGGGCCCTCACTCACACAGGAGCCTGGTCCTGCAGGTCACAGCATAGCTGCCAGAGCTGCTGCTGGGCCTTCCCCACAGCATAGGTCTGCTCTGCCGTGGGGCCTTGGGCAAGGGTCCTGAGGAACGCCAGGGCCAGGCTCGAGGGCGGCACAATGCTGGGCGAGGGAGGGCGACGTGGCTCTGGATTCCTACCGCAGGGCATTTGGGAAAGCTCAGCCTGACAGTAGGGACAAAGGCCTTTACAAAGGCCTGGGCGCTGACGGAGGGCTCTGCCCAGGTCAGATGGAGAATCATTATGGGCTTTTGGCTCTGAAGGGGCCCTCCACCCTGGGCTTACCTCTCTCCTGGCTGCCAGGCACAGCAAGGCCTGGCTCATCCAGAGAACAGTTGGGTCTGCTGATGAACTCAGTTCCGTCAAACTACTCATTGGATAACAGACTCTGGACGAATGACAAGTGTCTGAAGTTACAATTTTCATTTATGGTTCAGAAGGCACTTCAAAATTCCACAGAGCCACAGGGTCACTGTTTCTAGGTCACCAATCCTCCTGGTGAAGCTAAGAAATCGGGCTACATGTCTGACCGGAAGGTGTCCCGGCCACTTTGTGACTAAATCTGGTATTAGTTTGTCATCAAGCATTCAGCAAAGACAGTTTTATGTTTGCATTTTTGAATAAATGAGATTTTGATGTATCATGGCAGTTTATAAAATATTTAACAAGTCTGATATTTGACCCTAAGTAAAATTCAAATATTGAGAGGTCCCAACATGAGAAGCCGAGTACTCATGGAGTATAGCTTCCTAATCTAATCACCTTGCCAATCTGCACTTAGCATTTGTTACCAGCGTGAAATTTAGCTACTGGCGCTCAACTGCCACATTTGCTAGCACTTAGTAAGGGTGCCACTGGATTTCCTGTTGGACAAGCCAAGGAACAATGGGAAAAAAAGGCCTGTCCCTCCCCAGGAGCGCCCACTGCCAGTCAGTGCCTTATTTCAGAAGGCGTCAGGCCCCGCACAAACGCATCAGGCCCACACACACCAGGAGGCTGAAGGGTAACCCTATCACCCACGGGCCGTCTGGGGTACTCTGAGGTAGTTCCTAACTGGGGGTGCCTGTTACCTACTCTTTCAGAATTTAGGACGTGTAGGAAGTATTAAAATGTCCATGCATCTCTTTCATCCCAAGTCACTGTAACTGAGTGCAAAATAAAGGAAACTTGAGTTGCTTTATTTAGCTTCCAATTTCTGGGAGGCTCAAGAATTGTTAAGTATTCTGGACAACAAAAGAAAATAAGACTGTGCTTACAAATCTTTTTCTGCCATACTCTTTCTTTAGGATTGCTATTTTATTGTTGCCCTTTCTGTTACATGGGATGTACACATCAGGTGTTAAAAGGTACAATACATTCTACAACTGAGCACCACTTTCTGTAACTGAACAGGCAAAGAAATTACACTGAACATCAGCATCTGGCAGTATTTTTTGGAAAAAAAAAAGTGACTAAAATGGGTTTAAATTGATTAACACTATTAAATCACATCTAATATTTGATACTACATGATTCAATACAGCTATACGATACAATTATACAAAATGTGTTAACATCAAAGAATACAACCAAAATTAAGATAGCAAACAAAACCTATATAACTTTTTTTGTACAGGAAAATACTTTTGAAGTATGCATGTAACTGCCCATTCTTTTAAAGAAAATCTACCGCAAGCAAAGTTATCAACCTCCAGAAAAATCACACATAGCATTACTAAGCATATCCCCAAAAAGTGTACAATATGCACACTTGGAAAATACAAAATTAAAAAAATTGTAAGCAACAGGTGAGCTTCATATTTATAAGAATGTGAAAAGAAGTCCCATTTTTAGCACTGTTGTATAAAGAATTGTCTTTTGATGTGAAGTTCATGAATTGTCCTCCTGTCGGGACCACACTTTACAAAAACACCTTGTTTTTGAAACGAGATTACAGAGCAAGATAGAGCATCTTAGCAATGTCATCTTATTAAAGTTTGGTTTTTTTTTTTTCTTTTTAAATTTTTACTACTTTATCAAAACGTGTCCCTTAGTTGTATAGGATTCATTTTTAAAATTCTTCCTAGAAATAATATACAAAGGAGAGGCATGTTTATTCCCAATCACTCCTGGAAGATGCTTCCTGCGGTCGAGAAGGGTCTTCTCTCTTCTTTTCACTGGTTGTTTTTGGCTTTAGCATGTGTTAAGATGTGAGATTTCAGGTTAGTTGACTGAGCAAACTTCTTATTACAACCATCAAAGGGGCACACATAGGGCCTGTCTCCAGTATGGATTCGCACATGTGTGCGCAAATTGAAGTCCAGTGAAAAGCGTTTCCCGCAGCCTTCGAATGTGCACTGTTGAGGAAAGACCAAACAAACCCACTCAGGAACTGGGACCAGACCCTGGAGTCAGTGGCTCACTGCTTGGGTAGAAAACCACCTATTTTTTTTAATAAATGTGCTTCCTTCCTACCCTGGTAGAACCTTCTAGATAAAGTCTAGAATCAACAGGGAGGGATCTCTAACGCTATTCAAGCCCACAGCTAGCTATGTATATAAAGTCTACAAGAAATACTTGGTGAAATGTCAAGCAGTCCTAAGTGTGTCAGATTAGGGCTCTAAGACCCCAAAGGGTACAATATAAACGATTAAGACGGTCCCTGGTACTATCACAAAGAACCCTGTTACAGACATACTGTACTGCTACTTTACTCCCTTCTAAAAATGGCAAAGCATGACCTCACTATGGTGGTCACATCATACTGCTTTGGAAGTTCTCTACCAGTAATTCAACAGACTACTTACTGACTACCAAAAGTAAATGGCTTTTGTACCCTTGTGGACATGCTACAAATTTAGTGGGCTTGCTCTTACACAATTTTCTTTCTCTCAATTAAACATTATGCACCTAGTATCTCTGCCCAGCCATGTGTAGGAAAACCAGGAACTCAGGCAGATCTTCAAGGAGATGTGACAGAAGCATGAAACCGCCCCCCCAGCCCGCACCTTCTGCAGTATCACCACTGTGCCCAGCCCACGTAGCTTGCCACCGTGCCACATGGGGAACAGCCAGGCAGTGTGGAAGGGAGAGGGAACTGGTTCTACCTGAAAGGGCTTCTCTCCAGTATGAACCAGCTGATGTCGTTTTAGCTTTGAGCTCTCAACAAACGCTTTGCCACATTCTGCACAGACGTGGACTCTGGGGCCGTGGGTGTGCAGATGCTTCCTCATAGCAGAGTTATCCCTGAACATCTTTGTGCAGCCCTTAAAACAGAGAAAGCAGCTTAGTGGTTCACACTGAAAACTGAGGATGCAATCACTTAACAGCCTTTACTGATGTGTTATAACAAAACCTCCCCAGCCCACCCATGTTAACTTTACTTAGAATTACACAACATGAAACTATTTAGACAAAAAAAAAAAAAAAAAAAAAAAAACAAAAACAAAAAAAAAAAAAAAAAACCAACAGACAGCTGAGAAAAAGGCCTTATTATTAATGCAAACCCGTGCCTTACAGATGAGGAAACTGAGGCTTAGAGACATCTTGAAGTAGACTTGCCCAAGGTCACATTACTAGTAGTTGTCAAGCTGGGAGTAGAACCCAGCACCCCGGCTTCCAGCTACACCACAGCTGCCTCACCCAGCTACACCCCCAGATGAAGTAACAGAAGCACTGAGAAGTAAATGGAGTTAAAATGACGGGAGTCCACCACTACCTTTGGTGGGCCCCATATTCTGTGCTGCAACAATGGGCTGTCATTCTCCATCGCCTACTGTTCCCTCTTCTCTCTTTGCCTCTTTCCCCTTCTTGACAGAGAAAGAAGCAAGAGGGTCTCCAAGGAATGGCAACTACAGAAGAAATTTATTTGGTGAGACACTGGAAAAGGAAGAGGCAGGCAAAGCGATACCAGTGCGGGGGAGGCAGATGGATGTGTGGTGCCCGAGAGCAGCATGTCCTCACAATTTCTTCTGCAGTTGTTGCCCATGATGGAGTGAGTGGGGAAATGGTGAGACAGCATGACAGAAGGACAGCACAGGTCACCACTAGACAGCTTCACAGGCAAAAGGGAGGGAGGGAAAGCCAGTTTTTTCACCTGGATCTCTAGCTTCAGCTTCCATTCACAGAAGCTCAAGAGATACGGGCACTTAAGGCACAACTGTTTTCAAATGCTGATTTTTTTTGTTCAAATATTACAAATATTTCAAAATCTCCACATAAGAGCATTTAAAAGGATTTTTTTTTTTGGGGGTCTTTTTGAGACAGGGTCTCCCTATAGCCCAAGCTGTCCTGGAACTCACTATGTAGACCAGGCTGGCCTTGAACTCACAGAGATCCACCTGCCTCCGCCTCCCAAGTGCTGGGACTACAGGTGTGCGCCACCACGCCCGGCACTAAAAGGAATTTTTTCCAAAAAACAAGACAAAAATACAAAACAAAAAGCTCACAAGCGTGCGTGGTCTTTGTAGCAGCCCAGCACACCACGTTTATTCTCCTACAGTTGTTGGGTCTCCAGCAATTCTCTAGCAATTACAGTCCCCTCCTGTCTCTGCATCTACATGTTATCTTGTTAATTTTCTATCTAATTAAGTTTGAAGATAAACACCAACCCACCAACCAATACCTCAAAATACTTTTCAGGCCGTCCTTTATTTTAAAGACCAACTGCATTTGAAAACAATTATGTACCTACTCTTCTAGTAGCACAATTAACAGGGCACAAAGAAAATTATGGAGGAAATTAGAAGTATTTTACTTGGCATTCTAGCAACATCCAAGATAATTTCCAAATGCCAATCATGAGCTTATGCTCTTGTAAAGACTCATGGGTGAGTGGAACCCAAGGTCTTAAGACTAGTTTATGATCCAAAAAGAAAGTCCTAATAGTCAATACAATAGTAACAGAAACACTGCCCCCCCCACAAAGTCCCACTTAATATATTTAAGTGTCCTTTACTGAATAACAAAAATTAGTCTCTCATATTTAGAAACCAAAAATGTGAAGTCCCTCACTTTATTTCAATTATAAAAGCAGAAAAAGTGCTTATTTCTTATAAACTCTCTGAAGCTTCAGTAACAGCTTAATGACCACTCTCCCCCTAGCATTACTTACTTTATGAGGGCAAGCTATTGTTCTTGGAGCATCATCTTCTTTAATTTTTCTTGGCTTCATTCTTATTGAAAAAAAACAAAAAAGAGAAAGAAAGAGAGACGGATTTGTAGGAGTGGGTACACTCAACTGTTGTAAATCAAACAGTCTCTGAAACATTTTCCTTACGGTACTCTAAGCTGACTAGCTTTCCCTTCCACAAAGGAAAAAGGATCAAACAGCTATACTTGGTGAGCACTGAAGACTAGGAAGCATTCTTCTATCTTCCCAGTTAAGGGTTGGTGCTCAGAAAGGCAGCAACTGCTGCCTCTGGTCTCATAGCTGGAAAGCTGGCCATGCTTAGAAGGGCACTATTATCTGGTGATTCAAACACCTGCTCTTCCTGCTAACCTCTCTAAAAACAAACAAACAAAAAGATCAGCAGCTCTGCAGGGGAGGGGGAAGGGCCAAGGTAACCCAAATCGGCAGCTTCAATGACACCACACACACAAAATGGCTCCACTTCACACTGATACAAATGATTTTTAGGGCACATAAATTTCATCAAGACAGGGTCACTGTGTAGTCTTGGCTTTCCTAGAACTTGCTATGCAGACCAGGCTGGCCACTAACTCACAGAGATCTGCCTGCCTCTGTGCTAAGATTAAAGGCACACGTCACCCAGTTTATACTTTTTTTGGAGACGAGCTTACTATGGCTGGCCTGAAAACTCAGATCCGTAGTCAGGTGTGGTGGTGCACACCTTTAGTCCCAACACTCAGGCGGCAGAGGCAGGTGGATCTCTGTGAGTTCAAGGCCAGCCTGGGCTACACAACGAGTTTCAAGGGCTACAGGGAGGCCCTGTCTCAAAAAGACAACAAAACACCATCGCAGATCTGACTACCTCTGTGATTCTATAATCACACGTGCCACACACATTTGGCTTTGGGATACTATGATTTTTTTTTTCTTCTTCTGGGAGCTGAGGACTGAACCCAGGGCCTTGCACTTGCTAGGTAAGTGCTCTACCATTGAGCTAAATCCCCAAACCTGGGATATTATGATTTTTAAACCATGTATGGAAATCCTTTTAGACAGAATTTATACCCATGTTAAGTGAGCACTGACTACAGTGTTTTTTTTTTTTGGGGGGGGGGTCTTTTTGAGACAGGGTCTCCCTGTAGCCCCAAGTTGGCCTTGAACTCACTATGGAGACCAGGCTGGCCTTCAACTCAGAGATCTGCCTACCTCTGCCTCCCAAGTCTAGGACTAAAGTAAGCACGCCCGATGGTTACTTCAGTTTTTGGAGGGCTTATGTTACTTTGTTTTTGAGATGGTCTTGCTCTGTAAAGCCAGGATGCCTTCAAACTCATGATCCTCCTGCTTCAGCCTGAGATTGTAAATGTACACCACCTCAGCCAGCTTAGCGTACAACCATTTCTGGCTGTGCTTCCAGTTGTACTTGAGCGCTCCTGTATGAGACATGAAACTTGGTAATTCAAGCACAGCCGGCAGACCACTGTGTAATGTTACTGCTCACACAGCCCACTCAGTCATCTGCTACCTGCTACTTCCATGGAAGCAACCTTTGTTTTTTTAATGAAAACTTTCTCTCCAAATATTCCCTACAAATCTGCATAAGAGTTCCTAAACAAAAGATTTAGATCTCTAATAGAGTTCATAGCCCAAGTTCTGCCATCTCCTACTCTTCCATAAGGATTTGTATTTCATAATTAAGCCACTGCTTCTTGAACAGCAAGGGTTAATTTATCTATCATCCTCTCATCACAAAAGATCACAAAAGATTACTTCTGGCATCTCTCAAATAATAACAAAGGCCCCAATGTTCCTCTTCTCACCCAGAGCTGGGGAAGGGGCCAGTCCATCCTTATATTATAAAATCTAATTCATGATAACTTCTGGCTGAACTTGCCATGCCCAGCAGTTCAGAAGAACTATTGCTACTTATCTTCAGGGGCTTTGTTCAAGACTGCCTTCTACTTCAAACCTCAGAACATTCTCAATGTGGCACCTTCCCAATCTTAGCAGTAAGCAGATTTTCATCACTACACCAGTCAGCATTACTTAAGAGTCCACTCTTTATAGGCTCTTAACTAGTCTTTGTTGTTTTTTCTTATTTTTTTTTTTTTTTGGGGGGGGGGTCTTTTTGAGACAGATCTCCCTGTAGCCCCTGCTAACCTGGAACTCTCTAGGTAGACCAGGCTGGCCTTGAACTCACAGAGATCCTCCTCCAGGTGTGGGCCACGCCTGGCTGCCTTTGTTGTCTTTAAAACAAAAACAAAACGCTGGGTGGAACCCAGCTAGCTTCAAGCTCCGGCTTCCACTTCTTAAGTGCTAGGATTATATGTGTGCACCACCACACCAGCCTCTGTTGTCTTAAATGCCAGTAAAACCTGGAGTTTGGGGCTGGTTCAGTTCAGAGTAAGGAAGATGAAGACTGGTGCTACTCTGCCACCTGGAGGTTATGATCAGCATGAAAAGTAAGTGATTCGTGAAATGCTATTTCTCTCAAGTATCAATAATTTTAAAAGCATTAGTAAGATCCTACTCACATATGCACAAACTAAATTATTCCCACGTACCATTTAACCTTTTTTGTTTTTATAACGGGTTTTTGTTTTCTGAAACAGGGCTTCACTGGCCTTGAACTTGTGATCTCCCTATTTTAACCTGGAGTGTTGAGAACAGGTGGTCAACATATCTAGTAGTGGTATTATTTTTTCCTTAAAATGTCACTAGGAATCGGTTTGATTCCTAGTACCCACAAGGCAGCTAAAAACCATCTGTAACTCCAGTTCCAGGGGAATCCGAGGTCCACCTCTGACCTCTACAGGCACTGCACAACACAGGTGCACTACCTGCATGAGACATCTACTCATACACATAAAAATAAAATTTTTTCCATGTGTATGAATCAATGTGTATGAATACTACTAATTTTAAGATGAGAATTTATACTTGGACAAACCCTTAGACTCAGTCAATGGACAGCTTAACTGCAGATCTGACAATTTGCCCTTAACTGCAGAGTGGCTATCTTTCTAAAGAAGCACTTAGAATCAAAGTGGTCAGGCACGTAAAGAACAAGAATCACACTACTGCTTAGAAGTGTCTGGAAGTAACTAGATGAGTCTTTTCATTCACTGACTGGGAGACTTTACAGACCCAGAAAAGATGACATCCCAAAGGAGACAGGACAGATGTGTCGCTTGGAGTTGGCATCTACTAGGCTGCATGACCTTGAGCAAACTACTCAACTTCTAGGCCCCGATTTCTTGCTCTGTAAACAGGCATAATGCTCCCTACATTAGCGTCATAAAGATTAAAGGATGATACACATTAGACACTCAGGAAATGACAGCTATTATTACCATTGACCAAGTGTTCCTTTTGCTCACTTGGTTTTTTAGACGGTCCCCACATCACCCAGGTTGGCCTTGAACCTGTCAACTTTGTGCTCCAGTCTCCTAAGTGGCAGGATCACAGCATTCACTACTACACCAAGCAAAGTGAGTTCATTCTTTTAAAACATTACGCTATTTGAGCTAAACCATTCAGAAGCTTCTGGGTATTCTAAAGGACTGAGATTCAAACAAAAAGCACAAGCAGAAAGGCACCCCCTTAGCAGTTTTGAACTGTAATAAAACTGGGGACCATGTACGTCCCTCTACAACATGAACACTGGGTTCATGGCCTATCAGTCCAACACTCATACAGAGAACACAATAAAGACTCTCTACAACTCATCCTTGCAGGAAGTTCCTGACACAAGTTAAGCAGAGCTCTGTATAAACCCAAAGTCCAAACTAATGTAATTCTGAGAATGTCCCAGAAGCTCCAGTGTTCTAGCGATAACCTAAGGAAAACAAGCCCAGACCAGCACCATCAGTGACTAGGTCCTGGGCTGCTACGACGGTCTCTTGTGCCACTCAGCTACATTTTGCAAGCACCAGATCTGCTACAGAGCCCACAATGGTGGGCAATCTGATGCGATCCTCTGGGCTCAGCTCTCAAGTGCTGGGATTGTATACAGATGTGCACATACCATGCCTAGCTTAGGCTACAGGGTTTCAAACTGCCAGTTTTAAAGAAATACACTAAAGAAACTGTCCATTTCTGATCTTCCTGTTTCCACCTCCCAAGCACTGGATGACAAACATATATAGCACCTTGCTCAGTCTGAGGCACTATACCTGAATTTATATGGTGAATCCAGGGCTTCCTCCACACTAGGTAGACAAGCACTCTTTTTTATTTTTATGTATTTATCCCACCTCTCTAGCCCCTAGGAAAGCATTTTTTTTTTTTTTGTCTTTTTGAGACAGGGTCTCCCTGTAGCCCCAGCTGTCCTGGAACTCACAGAGATCTGCCTGCCTCTGCCTCCCGAGTGCTGGGATTAAAGGCGTGTGCCACCACATCCAGCCCGGCAAGCACTTTTAACTGAGCAATACTTCTAGCTTCAAGACAAAGACCTTCAAATCAAAGTCACTGTTTCCTTTATGATGTTTGTTTGTTTTTTTTTGTTTTTGAGACAGGGCTCCCTGTAGCCCCAGTTGGCCTGGAACTCACTATGCAGACCAGGCTGGCCTTGAACTCAGATCCGCCTCTGCCTCCCGAATGCTGCGATTAAAGGTGTGCACTACCATGCCTAGCACAATCTTTGTTTTCATGAGGGTCTGACCACATAGCTGGGGCTGGGCTAGAACTCAAGAGATCCATCTGCCTCTGTGCTGGGATTAAAGGTGTGTGCGACAGCACCAGGCTTCCTGCTATTATAGGAAAGTCATTGTTCCTTACTTACACCTGTCCACTTGAATATGAAACTTAATAAGCTAAGCAGTCTAGGTGGAGTGTGGCAGGGGCCTAAAACAGTCTTTAGTCAGTTAAGTCCAATATAGGACTCTGCTACCCCAGACCCAGAGGAGAGAGAATCACCGAAGGCTCGGCCATAAGCTAAGAATAGAGGGCTCAAATGTGGCTTTCCAGTCACAGAGCAGAGAGGTGGGAAGGAGGCCAGAAGAACAAGTTCTGAAGATCACAATTGGAGAACACATGGTCTGATCCCTGAGAGTGTGAAACTTGGTGCCTCTACTTGCTATTCTACTGTCATAGTGTCAGAGTCCCAGTCCCTGCCATTAATTCTGGGGCCTCCAGAAAATCCTTTTCCATGGTCACACACATTTCTCAAGATGTTGAGACCTAGGAAAGAACAATACAACAGAAACAAACAAACAAACAAAAAAAGCAATCAGAGGCAGAGGTAGGCGGATCTCTGTGAGTTCAAAGCCAGGCTGGTCTAGATAGCAAGCTCCAAGCCAGCTGAGGCTACAGGGAGACCCAGTTTCAAAAACACCAAAACAAACAAACAAACCAACAAAAAAAAAAGCATGCAGGCTTAAATATTCCTCTCTACCACCACTGTCTACATAATCTAGGCTAACATGGTCTTTGAGATGCCATGCAAGATGGGGATGGCATCCAGCCCTCAAGTCTATTTCAGAGCAACCTTTATTCTTTACATACTGACAAGGTGAGCAAGATGACATTCTAACACAATGAAATGCATCAGGCTGATTATAAAAAGAGTATAAAAGAAGCCAGGTGTGGTGGTATATACCTTTAATCACAGGCAGAGGCAGGCAGGTCTCTGTTGAGTTCAAGGCCAGTCTGGTCTATACAGTGAGTTCCAGGTCAGCTAGGGCTAACGGGGAGACCCTGCCTCAAAAAGACTGGGGGCGGGGGGGGGGATAGAGAACAAAGCACTGCCTATAGGCTGGACTGTAGTTCTGGAAGATTCAGGAGGCCCCGAGTTAAATAAATAAATAAAGCTGATGAGTATTACTCTTTTGTTTTGGAGACAGGGTCTTAACTATGTAGACAAGGCTGGCCTTGAATTCTTCTGCCCTCCACCAAGCAGACCACCACACTCAGCTGTTACTCTTCCTTCCATCTATTGTGGTCATGTAATCCACGACCCCATTCTTCTAGGACCCCATTCTTCAGCAGATGTTTTGGTTTGAAATATCAGAGACTTTGGCAATTGCCCTCCACAAAAAGCCCACACTCCTTTGGCCAGTATTCATGGGCCTTTATACAGCCTGGTTCCAATTTATCTGGACTCTACTTTATCTTAAGCACTCCAAATCTCAGGCATACTGAATAATCACATCTGTACTTTTTTTTTTCCGGTCTTTTTGAGACAGGGTCTCCCTGTAGTCCCCTATGTGGACCAGGCTGGCCTCGAACTCACAGAGATCTGCCTGCCTCTGCCTCCCTAGTGCTGGGATTAAAGGCGTGCACCACCACGCCTGGCCTAACATCTGTACTTTCTAATGTGCTATGCCATTCTGGTTTGCAGGCCTCAGGATGGAAGCTGCATTGTTACTTATCAAAGCTTGGTTCAAACCAGGTATGGTGGTGCACACCTGTAACCCCAACACTTGGGAGGCTGAAAAAAGCAGCAGGATGTTGAGATCAAGGCCAGCTTGGGATACAAAGCAAATTCCAAGACAGCCTGGGCTACACAGTGATACTATCCCAAAACTCTAGGTTCATCAGGGCTCAAGTCAAATTTCTGCCCTGTCTGCAACATACTGTTTATTGTCTCTACTCCATCTCTGTGTCCTTACTCAATTCTAAGCACACAACAAAACAGCTGGTTAACTATAGGATCATATGACATTAAACACTGCCACTGTCACAGTACTTGGTTTATTCCGCCCCAAATAGCTCTCTCACTGCCAACTCTGTATCCTACAAATTCAATTTTTACTTTTAGCATTTTTGGGGGGAGGGGGAGGCCTTAATATTTGACTCATATAATTTCACTTGAAATTATGAATGGTAATGAGAGCTGGAATACAACGTCATTAACAGAAGCACAGAGCCTTAACTTTGTTAAGCCATGACAAATTAGAAATAAATTGAACTATGTACTTCTTACAGCCTTAGCTCCACAGGCAAAGACCTATGCGCTTCCTTCATCAAAACACAATGGAATCTGACAAATGGGGCAAACTGAGGAGCTAAATGAAACCCCTCACTAGTTCTTGACAGGGACTGGGAGAGAGGGTCAAGAGGGGCTCCAGTTCTTCCCTGTGCCACCTTGCTAACCAAGAGAGATGCCTGATTTCCTCAGCAGGTGCATGACTTGACTACAAAGGGCCCTCTTTCCCTGAACTGGCCCCTTGCTTTCTGAGCTGTTCTAGGTTCTGCTCAACTTCTGGAAAGGGAAGGATTAGGCCTTCCACACATTTAAAATGTTAACGATTTGTGCACCCACCCCCAGGTCCTTATAAAAGCTGTCTAACAACACTAAAAATTAACACCACTAGCAGAGGCCTCTGTAGGGATCCGCCCTATTTTAGGCAAAACAAGCAAAATCAGTGAATGGAGAGCTTGACTGTGCAGCTTGGATAATCACAGGAGTTCTCCTAATCTTAAGATCTGAGTCTTTCCTGTCACACCAGCTCAAATTAACAAAACATTAGAACTACGAGGAGATGCTAAAATATGAACTGGTGAAATCAGTCCTGTGGTTAGCTGGGAGCATCCAGGATGGACCAAGCACAGTGCAACACACACAAACCTAAGAGGCAAGGAGGCAATGTGCAGGCACCTACCTCTCAACAAATCATGTGCAAATTTGTTTACTCCCAATCAACACCAGTTATGAAACCAGAATATGCACCTCACCATACTGTCTACAAGGCTCTAAAATGCTGCCACTCACATTAACAGCACAGTTATTACTAAAAATAAGACTGGCTGCTTTTGTTTTCAAGTTTCCCTAGAGAAAGAATACAAACTACCACTGTCAGTTGGGCACCAAAACACAGCTGGTATGATTCAAGCACTTTCTACAATAAAAAGAAAAGAAAGCTCTTGTAACTTACCTAGCAAATTCTGCCAGTTGCTTAGGGTCTGAGAGGTCAATGCCAGGTATCCCTCCAGGAGGGAGTTTCTTGCCTGTCATATACTCAGAATAATCAGGAGGTGAGTTCTCTCCAATGATCTGTTCTTCGACCACCGTCTCATGGTCAATATCTTTTTTTTCATCTGAAACACATGAGTGATCATCTTAACTGAGTAAATACATTTTAAAAGTATAAAAACTGCTTTTCCTAGAGTCTTCAAGCTGCATATCCACAGCTACCACCTCAATTTCTCAACCATTCTTTGTCCTCAATTTTTACAACTCCTGATTTTTCTCCTAGATCACCAGAGTCTTCAGCGTTAGACTCCCTAAACTTTTACCTTTGTGGTCTACAATAGCCTATCAGAACAGCTCCCTACCCATGTCTTGTCACCACTCTGCAGGCTCACCCTACTCGTCTAACTGGCTTCTCTCACTTCTCAGAGTTCTGCCTTTACCCATCACACAAACTCCTATTAACTGCAGCAGGTCAATGCTGCCAGCTGAATTCTGACTTCCATAGTGAGTTTCCAGCCCCTAGTCCTTCAGTCAACCCTTATTCCCTCCTCCAACACATACCACTGCCTACCCACCAGCCTCATGGCCTTTATTCTGCGGTTGCCAGAGCCCACCGGTGATTATATGAATAGTTGTGTGGTTCCTCGCAGTCTCTCCTTCTAGACTTTAAGCTCTAAGAAAGTAGGAAATAGGTGAGCTCTGAGCCCAAGTTTTAACAAAAAGAACGTTTCTGAGATTCTGTGCATAGTTGGTCCTCAGAGAATATAAAATCTCACCCTGTATGTCTCACTATCCTCTCAATCATAGCCAGCTGTGGTGACACATGCCTGCAATCCCAGCAGCTCAGGAGACTGAAGCAGGATACTGAATTTGAGGCCAGTTAAGGATACATAGTGAGGTCTGAACTATATAGCTATTACTTCAAGGAAAATTTAAATTATGTTTATTACGTGGTGTGTTTGTTATGTGGTGTGTGTGTGCACCCACCCGAATGTGGAGGTCAGAGCACAACTTGAGAGAGCTGGTTCTCCATTTCTGCCAGTGGGGTTCTGGGATCAAACTCAGGTTGGTTGGGTTGTGCAGCAAGTGCCCGTACCCAACTGAGCCATCTCACTAGCCAGGTTATTGCTTTCGATTCTCCCCTGTACATCCCTTCTATTCCAACCAGCACATTTTTTCTCATAGATTAGTTCCAAAGCATCTTATAGGAGGCATTCAATAAGTTTCCCAATTGATCTTACTACCCTTCAAAATGCAGCCCCCCACTTGGCCAAGCCTCACATTCCTAAATTTAGATTACTTCCTGATAAGACGACATTCTAAGTCATTCTGTTTTGGATTTTTGCTGGCCTTGCTTCAAGCTGAAGTGGAAGGTACCCAGGGGCCAAATAGTCTTCAACTATGATACCTAAAATAGGAAACACGTGCTCTATAATTTCCAGTGCTGAAATTTTCTGCTTATCCATTAGATTATGTTTCACAAAGAACAGGAATCTAAGATTTTCCTGAAGTGTAAAATGGCTCACTCAACTCTTACGTTCTATTATCATTCCACCAGTGTTTACAAGACCCAATCCGGGAAGAATATACAAAACCCTACAGTTAGTAGCACTAACACAAAATACACATAGCTTTCTATACCAGAGCAGAGCTAGATGAAGAACATGGTTCATGAGATTCAAGCAGTCATCAAGTTCAACATTATCAGTAAGGAAAAGCCAGATATACAAATTTAAACTTTAAATACCTCTCTATCTTCTACTATTGTGATTTTGAGACAAGGTCTCACTGTGTAGCCCTGGCTGGCCTTGAACTCACAGATCCACCTGCCTCTGCCTCCCAAGCATGTTTACTGGCCCAATTTCTTAAGACAACTCTCAGAGTAGGTTCTTCCCTTCCATTATGGGTTCTCAGGATCAAACTTAGATGTCAAACTTGTACAGCAAGGCCTTTTATCTGCTAAGCCATTTCGCCTACTTCCTTCCTTTAAGACAGTTATGTACCTCAGGCTGGTCTTGAATTTCTGAAGCCCTTGCCTCCACTTCCCAAATTCTGGGATTACTGGTGTGCAGGACCATGTACAGCTTACTTCCACTATTCTTTCTTTACTAGGTCATCCTCTGCCACACAGCAAGACTGAGGTCAGCCTGGGAAAACCTGAGACCCAGCCTCAAACAACCAAATGATACGCACAAGCCAAGAGCCACAACTACCCTGAACAAGTTACTGCTAAAGGAACCTCATGCATTCTAGCTATCACAAACACAGTTACCTTATACTGGGAGGTTTCTACATTTCTTTCATACTGCATCCTCACAGAGAACTTGAAGTGTTCTCTGTCTTCTGCATCCTCTAGTTTTCTGTAAGGGCATCAGTCTCATTCACTAGAGCTCTACCTCCCAGATCTATATCACCTCCCCAAAGGCCCCACCTTCTAACCCATCACAATGGGGTTAGGATTCCAATATGAAATTGGCAGCATAGAGGCTCACAAAACTCAATCCACTGCATAAAAGAAACAGATTAGATCAACCCTTGTGTCAGTTCAATATGTACCGCACAGATGCCTGGCACTGGAACAGCCAGAAACAAGACAGCCTAACTTCATGGGGCTCACCTTTAGTGAATGAGAAAACACTCCTTGGCAAGTGCTCTGTGGAGCCACAACCCTACCTACCCACCCAAAGAAAACACTTTTTGAGGCTAAATTCTTAGAATTTAAAGAATATAAGAATATAAAGAACTCAAGGGTGTGACCCCTGGGAGGACCACACAGTTTCACAACCAAGAATATTTGGACACCACAACTGAATCTGATTGGGGGTAAGGGGAAGAATACCACCAAGTTGAATAGGTAGGGAGGTGGGGTGAATTTGGGAGAAGTTGGGGGAATATGATCAAAATATACTCTGTGGAATTCTCAAAGAATAATTTTTTTTCAAGTAAACAAAAGTATGAAGAACCTAAAAGAAGGGTTGAGCAGACAGCTCAGCCAGTTAAGTGCTTGCTATGCAAGTATGACACCAGCACCTGGGTAAAAAGCCAGGTACTGGTGGCCCATGCTTGAAATCTCAGCTCTGGGGAGGCAGAAACTCCCTGTGGTTCACTGGCCACTAGCCTAGCCTACTCAGCTCAAGAACCAAGACTCAGTGAGAGATCCTATCTTAAAAATCAAGGTGGACAGATCCTCAGGCGTGTGGCCTCCACACATCCAAAGAACTTACTCTAATGACAGCCACTAATATGATTAAGAGAAGTCAAGGGCTAGGCTCTACATAGCTCAGCAGTAGAGTAGAGCATCTACCTGGCATGCATAAGGCCCTGGCTTTAATAACCAGCACTACAATAAATTAAAAAGAAAACAAGTTTAAAAAGAAAAACAAAAAACGCAGCTGAGGCTGACAAGGTCTGCCAAGAGCAGCCGAAAAGGCAAAAATCCGTATGTATGTTTATCATTTTAACCATCTGCAAGAGTACAATATGGTACCATCACATACATTCACAATATCACACAATCATCTGTACACAAAACTTCCTCTGGCTCAATAGAAACGGCTGCCCATTAAACAGTTACTCTCCTTTTTCCTCCAGTCTCTGCCAAACCCTATATTTTCTGTTTATATTATCTTGTGTATTCTAGGTATTCATATGTGGAACAATAAAACCACTGCTTCTCAAACTGGTTTATTTCACTAAATAATGCTTTCAAGATAAAATGCACTAAATACTGAACTTTAAATTTCTTTTTCATGACTGAATATTATCTCTGTATACATACCGCATTTTATTTTCCTATTCATCTAATTTAAAAAATTAAAAAAAAAAAAAAAAAAAAGG